GTCTCCAGACCTGACCTCCGCCCTCCCGTCCCGTCTCCGCCCTCCCCTCCCCTCCCCAGATCTGACCTTACAGGGAAGGTGAAATATAAGCAGTTTAAATGTCAGCCTTCAATCTCTTTGCAGACAGAGGAGACTGAGGAGTATATATTCGGGTGCTGTATACTGCATTGGTTCCTGTGCATTGGGTTCGGATCACTCTCACGTTTTATGTTAATCTTCTCAGGTTCGGAGGACGGGAAGATCCACGTGTGGAACGCAGAGAGCGGCATGAAAGTCGCCGTTCTGGACGGTAAACACACGGGACCCATCACCTGTCTGCAGTTCAACCCCAAGTTCATGACCTTTGCCAGCGCTTGTTCCAACATGGTAAGGATGCGCTCTGTAGTTCCCTGGGTGCCCACACCTGTAGAGGGGAATGTGATTCTGGGAGCGCCTCACAATGTGCATTGGAAGCTGCAGCAAGTCAGATAGAGCTCCGCCGCCTTTCCTGGTTGGGGGACGTCCAGTATCATCTATCCATTTCCTCTCCAGCCTGACTCCCATGCCCCGCCCCTTTCATTGATTGGATTTCAGTTCTGTCGATCATGGAGGTTCAGCATCACATGTGGGTGTTACCTAGGGAGGCCTGTGTTCTATCAAAGTTTGTGACTGCGTTAGAATGTGTGACCGGTGACGTGGTCACACATTTTGACGTAATCCTGCCCGGTTTTTCGGCGGTGGAATATGTGACCGGCAAAAGGTGAAGAATTCCAACGCTTTCTCAGCTGCTCCCGGGGCAGATCGTATGTGCAGGAGACCCACCCACCAGGGCATTTTGATATTTGCATAACTCCTCCCAAGAGACCGCCCACTGCTTGCATCAGGACTGAGGGCTCCTGAGGAGTGCCGAGCTCAGGGTCCTGTAATGTGTTCAGGAAGCCATGTATAACACCCTGCCGGCCCCTCCTCCTTGCATGAATAGTAGCCTTCCCTATGTTGATGCCTTCTCGTCCTCTCTATTGATCCGGGTGCAATCCTCCATTGAGGGGGGGAGGGGACTCTGAAATGTAAACACTTGCAGCATTGGCATTTGTGATTGGCCGTCTACAGCGATTACCGTGCTTGTAGTAAAGCAGCATGTGTACTACCCTCCATACATGTCATGCTAAGCTATTGTGTGTCTGGAGATAGGGGGCCACAGTAGGGGCCCCCCATTTTTTACTAAGTTGACCTCTGCTCTACAAGGCTTTTTTTAATAATAAATAACAGTAATAATCATTTCTCTCCTTCCCCCTCCTTCTCTTCCTTCCTTCCTTTGCCCCCCCCTCTCTTCCTTCCTTTGCCCCCCCTCTCTTCCTTCCATGGGTGTGATTACGTTAAAATGTGTGACCGGTCACAAACTTTGATAGAAACACCAGTGTTCCATCGGAATCTCCAACTCATCGGAATCTCCAACTCATCGGAATCTCCAACTCATCGGAATCTCCAACTCATCGGAATCTCCAACTCATCGGAATCTCCAACTCATCGGAATCTCCAACTCATCGGAATCTCCAGGAAGTACTCGTGCTAGGCATCGGAGCATTTGGGCGAGTACGAGTACTCACCGAAATACTCGGTATCGGCACCGATATCGATACTAGAATTGGTATCGGTGCGTCCCTCATTCTTTCCATACCAATCGTCTCACAGCGGCCATTTTTTTACTCAGGGCAGGTTACTAGATCTCCCTTTACTTCCTGGAGCTCTGGGACATGTGACCGTGCACATCCTCTCTGGGGAGGAAAATGCCTTTCCCTGAGATCTCGTTGAGATTTCCCAGCAATGCTCTGCTTATGTCACCTTCCCAGGATGCAACGCTTGGGCACGATGACATCATTTGTGCCAAAGAAGACCAGGAAGTGGAAAAAAAGAAACTAAGTGAAATAAAAATATGTTTAGCCGATGAATGTAAGATATGGGCATGCCGAGCTGTACGGTGATGTGATTTGGAGTCAAAGGGGGTAAAGGTCTGCTTTAATATTTAGGTTAAAGCAGAACTTTTATTACCCCTGTGCAGTGGGACTAACCAACCCTTCCCCCCCC